TACATACGTATAGTTGTAGTATAGAGAAGGCAAAAACATACACGCAACCTCAAAAAATTCACGATAAAATGAAAAAAAAATTTCGAGTACAACTTTTCATATTGAGATTATGGTGGGTACCTACATGTACGTAAACACTTGTTTTGAGAAAAGTTTGTTAATTTGTATGAAACAAATACGTCATTGTGCGCACCTTCGTTCTACGACCATGATGTTGGCTCGTGAATTCTTCGAAAAATAATTACGTCCTCCAACAAGTATGAAAGAACTTTGCCATCGGCTTCCGGCTACACTGACAACAGACCGCATCTGCGCTTCAACTTTCATGTCCCTCTTGTCACCACTCATGCACCTTCTCTATACTACAACTGTACGTATGTTCATACCTATGTATATTGTTTCAACGCAATACGTGCATTGGTACTTGCGTATAGATAATTGTATGATAAAGAAGTAGAATTCATTTCGTATTTAGCAAGTCAAATCTTTGTGATAAGAGTGTTATACAATAAATCTGATTAAAAATAATATGATATGGAATAGCATTGGGATTTGTCGACTTGTACAGGGAAATTCTGTCGTGCGGACGACAATTTTTATAGGTGCAGGTGCAGACGACAATTTTTACCGTGCTGCACGGTAAAATTTAGTGGTGGCTCGGTAAATAGTCTGACGCGACGTTTTGTCCCACGATTACCGAACTGCACGGTAATTTTTGTCCGTACTGTCACTATAAAATTTCTGGTTTTTTTCGCTCAGTGTTTAAGCTTTTTTTTGGTATGTATTACATGTATTTTTACAATTTTTGTGACCACAGTTACAGGCCGCGATCAGACGGAGCGGCAATCAACGGGACGTTTAAACTTGTGAGAGGGAGTGAGATGTGCTCGGCAAAGGTGGTAGGCCACGGGTTACATGATGCATCAATGCTTCGTTGCGTCGTGTGTTAAGTCCATGAGACATTTGAAAGCGAAGAAAAGGTGCGTGAAAAATGAAATCCTCTGATCTTTTTCTCACTTTCACGATTTTATATAAATACGCAGCTTAGTAACTCAATGACGCACCATGCAACACATGAACTACTATCTCCGTCAAAACGCGACCTAAGACTGTGGTCACAAACATTGTAAAAATATATGTAATGCGTACCAAAAAAAGCTTAAACCCGTGTAACTATATCATATGAGCTTTTTTGCAGTTCACGTAACGTATGTGACCACAGTTCAAGTTTTCCGCTTATCACTGAAAAAATTGGAAAATCTCGAAAATCTTCCTCGAGACCTTCGAGACTCCCCAAAAAGTCTCGAAGGACTCGAAAATTTTCTTCAAAACGAGACCAAGACGAGACGATACTTTAAAAAAATTTCGAGACGGAGACCCGACAATTTTAAGACGAGACGAGAAGGTCTCGTTGCATAACTCGATATCATCCTGTAAAATAATTATTTCAGAATTCTGAATATCACTTGCTCTTATCATCTGAGTATTGTCAGTAATACTTGTTTTGACTTTTTTTCTCTTTAATGCAGAGTTGTTGCAATTAGCATTTTTTTTTTATTTTTTGATTTCGCTGCAACCAATTCATTTTCGTATTCTGCAGTTGTTATGATGGCAGATTTCCCTTTCACAGATTTCCTTTTGTTTTCCTATACAATTAATACATTAATTAGTTTTATTAAATATTTACTTATGTTCCATTTTATATTTACTTTACCTGAATTGTCTTTTGTGTGCTTTCTGATCTGTTTTGAAAATATTCACCGAGTTCTTTATTTAAGCAATTCTCCATACTTTTTAATATTTTTCTTTTTAATTTAGTGGCTTCAGGGCATAGGACATAATCTTGTTCAGTTCTAAGAGTTTTTTCTATCAAATTTGATGAATTTACAGAGTTTATGAGACAAGCATTTTGTTTTTGAATTTCTTGAGATGAAATTTCTTCCAAATTTTGAGATGTTATCCCAGGAATATTATGTGACAAGTCTCTGTCAACTAGAGAAGGTTCTAAAGTACCTGTATTGGTAGTCAAAGAAACTACATTGTTATTGGATTGAGTTACAGGCTCCAGTGTGTCAAGTAGTCGACTAGTTCTTGAAGTAGAAAATTCAACTTGTGTATTTTGCGACTGCTGTGTTACTGGAGAATGTAGGTTTTCGTTAAGATTCGGGATACCTACTCAAAAATTACAAAAATTTTAATATTTGCATTAAAAAATTACATAAAATAAAGAAGAAGTTCTTACTTGGTTCGATCAAACATGAATCAGCTTCACTAGCATTGGAATTTGAAGACACAAAATCTGAATCCTTGAAAACATCCGGATTAAATGGAAAAATACCCGTTTTTTAAATCCATTTACTGCTGTTTCCATACATGAAGCTTTCACAAAAGCAGGTGTAAACAAAGAAAAAATATCCTTTTATCCTATTGTGCTGTACGGATGAGCTCTCATCCATTTGGTTATTTCTGCAGAGTAGTAATTACTGAGAGGCTTCATGTAAGATACGTCCAAAGGTTGTAATCGATGAGTACAGTGCGGGGGAAAGCAGAGCATAACAACCCCATTGTCTTGTGCTAATTTTATTGCATTCAAATTCTTCACGTGCGTTACGTGGCCATCTAAGAGTAACAAGACTGGATCATTTTTACTCGCTTTAGTAAAATCTATAAATCGTTGCAACCATCTAATGAACACTGCTTCCTCCATCCATCCACTCCCATTAAACTCAGCCCAAGCATCTTGCTGTTTGCCTTCCAAGTATCTTGGATTCTCTTTTTTCCTTGGAAATATGAGTAACGGTGGCATGTATCGTCCAGCGGCTGAGAAACAAATACAAGCCGTTACCGTTGGAACCCTTTCTGCAGATACCTTCGTTCCAACTTGGCGCTTGCCTTTTAATGCGACGACTCGAAGGTTTGTTTTAGGATTACAAGAGACTCCCGTCTCATCCACATTCCATATCTTCTGTGCCTCAAAGTGATATTCATGGTACACACTTTCTAACAATCTAAAAAACTATTTACACTTTCTTTATTAAAACCTGTTGCTCTGGCTGCAGATGTAGGTTCTGGTTTTCTCAAAGTAAGCTGAGGATTTCGTTTTAAAAACCCGAGGAACCAGTCTTTACCAGCCAACTTGGAATCAGCATTGAATGTGTGACTTAATTTTAAACTGTCAGCATAAATATAAGCTAAACGACGAACTTCCAATGCTGTAAACCCGTGCAATCTGGCTTCATTTTTTAAAATTTCATCGCAAAGGTATTTTTCTTGCTCAGTAGTGAATACAGATTGAAACTTTGCACCTGTAATTTAATAAATATATAAAAATCAGAGTAACTTGTTGTTTGTTTACAATCTGCATAACCTCAAATTTTTTCCTTGAGAGAAACAATATAAATATATACTATCACTTAAATTTAATTTAGTATTTACATACCTGGGTTAACAATGATTGCCTCAACATCGCCAGATGTTTTAAACTTAATATAATTTCTTCGTAAAGTTTCGCGAGGTATACCAAACTTTACAGAAGCGCATTCGACTTTTTCACCATTCTGTACGGCATGTATTGCTCTTTGTAGATTTTCGACAGACCACGAGTGTCTGTCAGATTTACGTTTATAATTTCGAACCATTTAGGTTTAACTTATAACTAAACAAAAACTTAAAACTACAACGTTGTTTATACCTACACCCTACAATTCACTAATCGGTCGTAGCCGTCTGATGACTGAACTTCCTCAATCCGCCCCATCCGTTTCACCCATTCCGGCCCTTTCGTGACTTTTTTTTAATTTGGTGATTTTTAATTGAAAAGGAATGAAATTACATTTTTTAAAGCACGATATTAACTGTAAGTAGTTAAGTTATCCATAACACGCATTAAGAGCCACAGAAGCTTAATTTGTAATACTTTTCAAAACAAATAAAGTTGGTATAAAAATTTTTTTTTTCATACCTATAATTTAGTTTAATAAATACTTTTTTTTTTTTACGATTACCCTACTTTTTCTTGTATCATTTAAAGTGTAAAAAAAAAGTTTTTGGACTACTTGTTGAGTAAATTTCTTTACTTTATAAGCATTACCCATATTCCCCGACCACCCATTCCGCCCCACCTTCCCCTATACACAAATCATTTATTTTATTAAATCATGAAAGTACGTGCATGTTTCAGAAATTATATTTTTAATAATAACCTCAAAATTTGATAAAAAAAAAAAAACATGAAAAAATATAGCAATAGCGGATTGAATATTATATCTCCTGATCACAAACAATTTTTGTGAAAGTTATTTTTAAATAACAAGCACTGATAAATTAAAAACATCATTCAAAGATTTAAAAATACTGAAATAGCTACNCATATTTTACGCTTTCTGTATGATCATAAAATGCTTACTTTTTTAGATATTTAAAGATGTCTACGTACAACGTGCATTCAATGTCACTGGCATCCCCATACGTTTCTCTCAATCAACGCCATGGGCGCTGGTATATATCGTTTTATCCCCTCCAGGTTCATTCTCAAAGCGAATAAAAGCCTGTCTCAAATAGCTAATAATTGCTCATTATCACACTTAATAAGACTCCATAAATACTCCTTTGTCTAGCGAGTAAAAATGTTGAAAAAAAAATTTCAATTACTGTTAGACAAACAGTACAAAACCAACTATCAATTTTAATTCAAGTTTACAATTAGATACGAAAGACTTGGCTCATGCATTTGCCAAAATGAAACGAAATTGCATGATTGACATTACTAGCGTAATTGTACATTTATTTTTTTATGATGTGCTTGAAACGGACATGGCCACTATTTAAGAAGTTAATTGTTTAAATTTCTTAAGTACATCTTTATAGTCATTAATGTGGTTATTTAATTAATTCACAAATTATATGGTATTATCAAATCTAATTTTTCTTTCTACTTTTATGTTTAAAATAACAAATATTTAAAAACGAAACTGAGTGGTTATTTTTCTTGTTTTTTTCAGGACCATGTGGTGGCAAAACAACTGGACAAACCCGACTGTGTACATTTTTTGAGAACTTAGGCTGGAAGGTAAGCATTTGTTGAGTACTTGACGCAATTTCAATAGAATTTTCTTTTAAAAGAAGTTTTGCGTTAAAACGATGAAATGTAACGATTACATAGTTTTTTTTTTCCTGCAATTTCAACATCCAATAGTGTTTGTAAAAAGTAACATTTTACACTCGTTGAAATTAAGATTAGTTTAAATTTTTTTATTTTACACTGCCAATTTTGTCAATAATATACTCAAATAAAAAAAATTTTTGTCTCTGAGGGGTTACACTTGAAAGGTCTGAAAGATTTACCATGGTTTGATTTAAGGTGGCTTGGCGGTAGGTACCATACCTAGGGTAGGGTGCCATAAGGGCCCCTAAGAAATCAACGCTTTGCGACGGTAAATTTTTTTAATAAATATAGTTATTTCGATAAAACCAAAGTACAAGATCAAGAAATTGCCAGAAAAGTACCGTAAAATTGTAATTGTGAAAATTGGGAGATGTTGCAAGACANGGGTTTTAATTTAAGAAAACATTTATGGCGATGATTTATGGAAAAAAAATATAAAACTTTTTTTACTAAAGATTTTATTTATGGTAAAAAAATCGTGCTTTCCTTCACGTAAATCAAATTTTATGAATCTGGGGATAAATTATGTTTGTCGTTTAATTTATTCATCCCAAAAAAATGAAACGGAAACGATAACACTAATCAATTTGCATTCTGAAAACATACGATCAATTCAATGTACCTTCAGTTAAATGATCAGGAGGACCAGCAAAAAATTTTTTGTATAAAACAATAATTAATTACTGCATTTCTTGAGGTATGAAACTTCAATAGCTTCAACTGACATCGTATTAATGTTGCTTTCAAATGGAATGATTATAGTCATAGATCCTTCGTTTACCTTTGAACTTAAACAATATAGAGAGTGTATTTTTTTATACGGAATCCGAAAAAAAGTATAACTCGAAATCAATTTAATAATTTGGAATGCGCCCTAGAGGATTCTAAAAAAGCCTTAGAAATAGTCCACAGGACTTTGTGTGATCAATGGAATACAAATTGAACATGCAAAATCGATGTTATATAGCGAAGTGGTCGCAGCGCTGGCGTCGCCCTAAATAAATTGTTTTAGGTAAAAATTTTCGCCAAAGGCTGCCTATCATGAATAATAACAGAAAAATTATCTATAAATATTCGTTAAATAGATATAAATTTTGCAAAATTGTTGTTAGAGATTTGAAAAGGAAAAATTTAAATATTTGAAATTCTTAGACAATGGAAAACTAATTACAAAATTTGCCATTAATAAAGTCATGTATACCGACTTCTCATTATATATATATATTATACACACACACTTATTTAGCGGTGGGGCCAAAAAATTGGGCGGGGGGGTGTAAAGCCCCGCCAAAAGAACTATATAATATAGAAAGATATATCGCCATGGTCACGTTGTACTATTATGATCTCAAAGTACTTAAGGAGGTTGACAGCCTCAAGAAATTGACAGTCAGTTTTTAACTAAAATTTGTGCAGGCTTCAAAAATGTATGTTTCAAATGTAAAGTTTCAACAACTCTGGGTACTTATAAAATGAAGAATTAATGAAGCAAATTTTGTAAATTTTACATGCGTTCTTATGTGAGATCGTCAAAAGCGACTCTTATAAACAAAAATTTTAATACAATTAACAATCAGATTTGGTCAAAACTGTAGTCGATATTAAATGAATATCTGGTTAATAATTATGTAAAATAATCACGTCGATTAATTGCATGTAAAAAAAGTTATTAATGAATAATCTGGAATGTAAATACAACTCAATATTGAATTACCGCGCATCCACACGCATTTATAACCTACAAAAAGCACTAAGTCAGACCTCTATCTCGCACTCGCCCCCAAATGAAGTCAACCACCTTAAATATATTAGATTCGTTATAATTTTGAAATTTGGTGACCAGGGGGCACAATACTAACTTTTGTATGCCAAAAATACACAGTCGTTGTATATCTATATTGGTATTTCGGGCGACCCGTTATAGCCCAATCTTGATCTTGCGAACAAATCTATTATCAAGTTACACAATGTTACATACTGTAAATAGCAGTACAGTTTTTGCTCTTTGCAGTTTGCCTAATGCGATATTTATGATTTACTGGCTTACAGTAGAAATGATGTCTTAATTTATGCTAGTAGTATTCGTTTTATGTTTTGCACGTCATCTTTAAAAAATTTTATAGATATTGGAATGCACATTGGGGATATCTCATATACAACCAATAATCAAAATTAAATTTTAGTAATTACAAGTGTTTAAAGGAGTTGAGGTGTAGTTCACTTCACCATAAAAATTTTAAAGAAATGACGTAATTTCAATCATTCTGACTTGAAAAATATGTCATTATTAGAAACGGTCAGAAGTCAGATGAAAATGCACAGATCACCGTAAAACTTGAAAACTTATTTCTTAAAGTGTCTTGAATTAACTTAATTGAATCCATCCAGTATTTTATGAGTCATTCTCAATGAATAAAAATCAAAGCTAAGCTTATCTTTACCACACGATCTTATGTCATCTTAAGTCACTACTTTATTTAACATAAACGAAAATTAATTTTTAAAAACGCAAAAATGTTAACAAAATATATTTTTTGATAAATTAACACCACCCTGTTAAAAAAAAACTTAGAAAAATATAATTCTTATTCTCTTGAATAACTATGCAGACTTTTGAAAGTACAGGACCTAACTTAAACGTATGTCTTCTGCAACAAAATGTTTTTTCTCGAAATATCAATATTATTTTACCATCAATAAACAAATGTTGTTAAAAAGTTTTATCGTCGCAAAGGGCATACGAAGTTAAAAAAAAATTTACTGAATCTAAAAATGGCACAAAGTATGTAGATTTTCGAGTAGATTTTTGTAACTTCGTGTTTAACTTATGAAGTTTAAAAACCACTTCAACGACAAACATTTGGATAGACCAAAACCATTATAACTCTAAAGTTCTCTTGAGGTCTGAATACTTCAGAATGTATACATTTTTTATGATGTTCGAAAAGAGTATTATTCCAGGTGTATCTTTGTCCGTTCTGTAATATTCCTAGAATGTAACTGCCTTATATTTATATGTATTTTTAAATAAACTTAAATATTCGTTCACATAAACATTTATGACGCTAACAAAATGACGATTAGAGATTTTCATCGAAATTAATAAACTAAACAAACTGACAATTAAGAAGCAAATTAATTCTCATTCGAAGATAACTAATGGCAGCTCAACCCATTAATAAATCTAACAATTACATATTTTATAACTTCTCACATGTGCAAAAGGTATACACATGCCTGGGATAAAGACGAAAAACAATTGAGGCAAGATGCTGCCACGTCATCTAAATTTGTCATTTAATTGGTTTAAAAAAAGGAGATGCTGTGGTAGGCTCCATCCAAAGTGTCGCGACATATGATTGTCTTTTATGTGAGTTCCCAATAAGTAGTGACAGTAGCATATCGAAACTGCTGAAATTTTAAGCAACTGTCTAGACGTCAGCCAGCTGGACGTGGGAACTTTCGCTTGGGCGCAAAGTCTCACGTCTGCCCCCTCCCCTCCCCCCATGTCATTTGGCGAGTTTGCTGAAAATTATAGCAAGCACGTGAGCTCTCATTACATGAATGATGAAGTTCTAAAATTATAATCTTAGTTCAAATGTATGTCTATAATTACTTTTATCTTGTTTCGCAATTTAGTAAAAACGGACACGCGCGTATAATCATCAAACTCGGATAAGGTGTCGCTATACATATAATCAATAGACTTGCTCAATTCAAGTGCTGCGAACACTCCGACCGACCCAAGAGTCATTGAGGGGTATATCTATATTTAAAATCTTGGCCATAAATACAGATATACACTTCAATGACTCTTGCGTCGCTCGGAGCACTTGAATCGAACAAGTCTAGTGTTTGCACAATAGGTTCTGTGTAGGTATTTTGATTTAAATAGTAACGTTTAACTTACTCTTTTCACTCCTACATTTACTATACAACATTCATGAGCTATGTATCATTTTTAAACAAGAAAAACTTCAGATTTTATAACTTTGCATTGATTCTATATAGAAAAAATGTAGTTCATGATTTTTGTACAAATTAATGACAAGCGCTAATGATCTTGAACAGTTTTTTGTTCATTAGTTTTTATATATTTTTAAAATCAATTGTTATTGAATAGTAATTACGAAAAGCATGTACGAGGGTCGTTCAGTAAGCAGTGTTTTTAAAATGAAAACATTTATGTATTAAAAATTTCAATTTATTCTTCAAAAATCTCCTTGCAACTCTATACATTTATTATAACAGTATTCAATTTTCTTGATGGCCTTCGAAACAGTAGTTTTCGCTACTCATTTAATGTTAGTTTTTTACCTCTAATTCAAGTTTTCAAATTTCGAAACAAAAAATAATCAGAGGGGTTGGATCTAAAAAATGAGATGGATGATTTAGCCGTTGCAATGCATAGAGATTTATAATATCTCTATGTTGCAATGTCACTCGTGCGGGCTGAAGCATTGTAAAAGAGTACTTTTTTTTCGCCAAATGTGCTAAGGCCACTTTTTCTTAAGTAAGATATAAAATCGATCTAAGAACGAATCATCATAAGCTTCTGTAGTAGTTTTCTCCTTCTGTAGATAACTGATATATCACGTGAGACCTAAAAAATTGTATCCATGACCTTACCAGCTGATAAAATGGTCTTAGCATTTTTTTTTGGCGCAGGTTCTTTAGGCTGAGTCCAAATTTTCGACTGATTTTTTTATTTATCGCGTATAATAATAGGTTCGTTCATAACTAGGTTCCGTTTGGTTCTGCACTTATGTATACTTTTCCCCACCAAACACACCTATTCGTAGCAGAACTGAAAAAACTCGGGACGTTTAATTTTGCCATTAGGTAAATTGGTAGGTTTTGTAAAAACAAATGTATCTATACGTATAGTACAGAACCGGGACTAA